AGAACTGAAAGCAGGGACCCAGATACTTGTACACCAATATTCATAACAGCATTATTTACAATAGCCAAAAGGCAGAAGCAACTCAAGGGTCAACAGACACATGAACACATAAGCCAAATGTGATACATACATACAGTAGAATATTATTCGGCCATCCAGAGTAATGAATTGTGCCCTGGCTGGTGTGGCTTAGGTGGTTGGGCATCGTCCCACAAACCAAAAGGCCACTGGTTCCATTCCATGTCAGGGCACATGCTTGGGTTGTGGGTTTGGTCCCCAGTCACTGCATACAGAAGGCAATTGATACTTCTCTGTCACATTGATGTTTCTCTTTCTCCCTCCCTTCCCTTCTCTTTAAAAATAAAAAAAAATATATGAAAAATAAATAAAGTATTGAATTTGTGACACAGGCTACAACACAGATGAACCTTGAAAAAAGCATGCTAAATGAAATAAGCCAGACATAAAAGGACAAATATTGTATGATTCCACTTACACACCTAAAATAGCAAATTCATAGAGACAAAGTAGATTATAGAGGTACCAGGGCTGAAGGGAGGAGAAATAAGGAGTTACTACTAAATGGTTACAGTGTTTCTGCTTGAAGAAAAAATTTTAGAATAGTGGTTATAATAGGACAACATTGTGAATATGATTAATTCCACTGAATTATACATTTAGAGATGGTCCAAATATGGCAAATTTCACTTGATATATATTTTACCAAAATTTTAAAGAATAAATAATATTACCAAAAACCATTGAATTGTACATTTTAAATAAGTAGAATATGTAATGTGTGAATTATATCTCAATAAAGCTATTAAGATACGATAGCAGAGGGGTATGGGGTAAAGATTGATGTTTTTAATGGTACAAACCTGCAAACAAGTAGTGAATGAGCTGTGGAGGTCTAATGCACAGTATAATTAATAGAGACAACAATATTGTACTTTAATTATATAATGTGATAAATATTGCTACAACTGCAACAAATGTATGAAAGTAACACTCTGTACACCTTAAATTTACACATTATGTGTCAAATCTATTCAATTAAAAATGGGGTTTTTTAAAAGAGATTTTATTTATTTTTCAAGGGAGAGGAAGGGAGGGAGAAGGAGGGAAAGATGTGCAAGACATGTCAATCAGCTGCCTCTCTCACACCCCCAAGTGGGGACCTGGCCCACAAACCAGGTATGCTCCCTGACTGGGTATCGAACCAAACCTCGGGCTGGCCAAACCCTTGGGGGCCACAGGCTGGCACCCAATCCACTGAGCCTCACCAGTCAGGACTTAAATAATGTTTTCAAAACTTCCAGCCAAGATAGAGGTGTAGGTAGATATGCTTTGCTTCCTCGCACAACCAAAAGAAGGATACAACCAATTTAAAAACAAAAAACAACCAGACCTGCCTGAAAATTAGACTGCATGTCAGCCCAACAACCAAGGAGTTCAAGAAAAAACATTCATCCAGGCTGTTACAAGGGGTGGAGACAGGCAGCTGGGCAGAGAGGATGTGACCAGGAGGTCAAGGCAGTGGCTGCCAACCAGGTGGTCACACATGGGTGGTCCCACAATCACATGTGGATATACCGAGAGGAACAGCTAGGGAAAGAGACAGACCACACAACCCAGGGTTCCAGCACAGGGAAATAAAACCTCAAAACCTCTGGCTGTAAAAACCTGTGGGGCTGTGGTCATGGGAGAGAAACTCCGTCTCACAGGAGAGTCTGTTGGAGTGACCCTCCGGGTTCTAGAATGTACACAAACCTTCCCACCCAAGAATCAGCACCAGAATGGCACAATTCACTTGTGGATAGTGAAGGAAGTGACTGAAAGCAGCCCACGAGACGAGCAAGCAGCAGTGCTCCCTCTCTGACCCCTCCCCCACATACAGCACCACAACCCAGAGAAGTGGGTTGTCCCGCCTTGGTGAATACCTAAGTCTCCACCCCTTGCAACATAACAAGTACACTGAAGCAAAGAAATACGGCCCAAATGAACAAACAGTTCAAAACTCCAGAAAAAGAACTAAGTGGCGAGGAGATAGACAACCTATCTGATGCAGAGTTCAAAACACTGGGTTATCAGAATGCTCACAGAAATGATTGAGTATGGCCACAAAATAAAGGAAGAAGTGAAGGCTATACAAAGTGAAATAAATAAAAATACACAGGGAACCAATAGTGAAGGGAAGGAAACAAGGACTCAAATCTTAACAATTTTGAACAAAAGGAAGAAGTAAACTTTCAGCCAGAACAGAATGAAGAAACAAGAATTCAAAAAAATGAGAGGCTTAGGAACCTCTGGGACAACTTCAGATGTTCCAACATCTGAATCATAGGCATGCCAGAAGAAAAAGAGGAAAAGCAAGAAATTGAAAAGTAATTTGAAAAAAATAATGAAGAAAAACTTCCCCGATCTGGAGAAGGAAACAGACATACAAGTCCAGGAAGCACAGAAAGTCCCAAAGAAATTGGACTCAAGGAAGAACACATCAAGACACATCATAATTCAATTATCCAAGATTAAAGATGAGAGAATCTTAAAAGCAGCAAGAGACAACGAGACAGTTACCTACAAAGGAGTTCCCATAAGACTAGCAGCCGATTTCTCAAAAGAAAACTTACAGGCAAGAAGGGGCTGAAAAAAGTATTTAAAGTCTTGAAAGGCAAGGACCAACATGCAAGATTACTCTATCCAGCAAAGCTATCTTTTAGAGTGGAAAGGCAGATAAAGTGTTTCTCAGACAAGGTAAAGTTAAAGAAGTTCATCCTCACCAAGCCCTTGTTATATGAAATGTTAAAGGGACTTACCTAAGAAAAAGAAGATCAAAAACTATAAACAGTAAAATGACAAAAACCTCACAACTATCAACAACTGAAACTAAAAAACAAAACTAAGCAAACAATTAGAACAAGAATAGAATCACAGAAATGGAGAGCACATAGAGGGTTATCAGTGGGGAGAGGGAAGGAAAGAATGGGGGAAAGGTACAGGGTATAAGAAGCATCATTGGTATGCACAAAATAGACAAGGGCAGGTTAAGAATAGTATAGGAAATGGAGAAGCCAAAGAACTCATATGTATGACCCATGCACATTAACTAAGTGGCGGTGGGGGGGAATGCTGGGTGGACAGTGGGTGGAGGGGAGAGGAGGATAAAGGGGAGGGAAAAAATGGGACACCTGTTGTAGCATAATCAATAAAACATACTTAAAATATAATGTTGAGGGAAAACAATGTTTTCAATGATAGCAAAAAGGAAATGTTTAGAGAAGGATTAGAAGATAAAGTTGAAGGCTTTCCGAAGGAATAGAACAACAACAAATGGAAATAAAGAAAAAGATAATTAAAAGATCGGCCCAGGAGGCCCAGAATCCAAATAACTGCAGGACACATTTGTACTAAGTTTTCTGCCCCCTATACACGTAATAAGGGGTCCCCTTTCCTCCACTTTCCAATATCATTTTCTCTGATTTTTTCCTGGGCCTTCAGCTGCAAAGTTGTTTATGTCCATTTCTCTGCCAACAGTTTATTTAAGGCATCCTAGGCTAAACTTTCTATCATGCTTCTCATAATTCTTTCAGTCTGTGCTTATTACCCAATTCCAAAATCACTTCCATATTTTTTAGATATTTGTTGCAATAAGATTCCTCTACCCAGATACCCAAAACATTCATTTAAATGTCATCAGCTCAGAAGTCCCAAATCTCATTATTTAAATTATATATAAGTGAGGCTCTGAGTGTGATCCATCCTGGGACCCAATTCCTCTCTATTTATGGACTTAAGAAACAAACAACAACAACAAAAAAAACCACAACAAGTTCTCTACTTCTACAATATAGTGATGGGACATCCATAGGTTAGGAGAGACAGTCCCATTCAAAAGAGAGAGGTGGTAGGAAAAAAGAGTCATCAATTCCAAGCAATTTTAAAATCCAGCCAGGCAGACTTCAAGGTTTCAAGGTTAGGTTTCAAGGCCTGGAAAATAGCCACCTGCAGCTCAGTACTCTGCCATCTGAGAAATCCTTTTTCATGAAAGATAGCATGTGTTCACAGCTGAGTTGTTTTATCAGCTTGTTTTCCTGTCTCTAGAATTTGGGGGGTTTAATAGCCGTCTTTAATTTTGTACTCTCTGTTCCCTTTTAGCTCAGTTAACAGTATTACTGCTGACATAAAATTCTCAAGAATTTTGTGACTATGCCGCATATGTCACAGGGATTTAGTTGATTAATCAACAACTAGATAACATTCTCCTCCAAAATTGAAAGCTTTGACAAAAGTATAAGGATCTGGTATACCAGTGTTAGGGAATGGAAAAACTACCTCTTTTAGCCAAACAGTGAGGAATTTCGGTATAGGCTTTTAGGGGTCAATTTATAGTACGCATTTTTAAAAAAACATTTTAAATGCTTATTTCCAGCTGTTCCACTTATGAAAAATTATCCTAAGAAAGTAGTCAAAAGATATGAGCAGAGCTTTATTCTCAGAGGAAATGTTCATGATATATTGTGTATGTGTATGTAGTTTATTGTGTATTGCATAATATACATTTTCCATATTTCCTCAATTCTAAGGGTCCATTAATTGTACCATATCCATGTAATAACTGCTAGGGAAAATAACTTCAAAGGCATTAAAATGAAGACGAAGTACATAGGAGATTATCTCCAGGAATACATGATTTACAAGTGACCTATTTATACTTTCCTGTATCATCCATAATGACTACATTGAATATGTATTATTATGATAATCATTTTTATTTTGTAGACCCTTTATTTAATGTATTTACTTAAATTAATGGCAGTCGTAATTCAAGAAGACAGCTTCCAGTAAAGGCTATTGGGAATGTGGATATCATACTATTTGTTTTTAGTCTTGCCTTTGAATGTCTAGAAAAGAATTAAATGTGTTAGTATGTATTGTTTGAATGCTCCATATGATTCCAACATTCCTTTAATGAGAACCTCTTTGTCTTTTTACCTAAGAGGCTGAAAAGAGTGAAGATTCTTCAGGTGCTGCAGGCCTTTCAGGCTTACATCGCACATACAGCCAGGACTGCAGCTTTAAGAACAGCATGTACCATGTAGGAGATTATGTCTATGTAGAGCCCGCGGAAGCCAACCTACAACCTCATATAGTCTGTATTGAGAGACTGTGGGAAGATTCTGCTGGTAAGTTCATTTTAAATTGAAGGGTAGATTTGTGAGATGTGATTGCTGTATTCCTTGGTCCTCAGGGAAGAAAATTGTAATTCAGACCTTTTACGTCTTCTAACAGTAGTTCTGCAATGTATAAAATACAGTAAAGCATCGATTATATTAAAAACATAGGATCTAGCACTGTGAAGCAATGGCACAGTCGAGTCAAAAGAAATGTAATTTCTTGAAGTCTAGTTGATACTTATTCATTCAATATTTATTAAAAACACACCATGAGCCAAACTCTGTAGGTAGCAGAGAGTCAGAAGAACAAAAGACTCATATTTTGCCCCTGGCAAAACAACTCCAATAAAAATCACAAATAAAAGATTATCATAGGGAGACATGTGCCTTCGCTTAGAATTTGATTTCAAAAAGTCTTCCTAGAACAAGTGCCTTTAACTTGAGACATGGAAAATGAATAGGAATTAATGAAGCCCAAAGCAGGCAGAAATGTGATCCAGGCAATCCAATTTTTTCAGCCATTCATCATGTGAAATACTTTTGCATTCCTGACCCCAGCAGAGTAGAACAGGTCTCATCACCTTCCTTATTCTATGTATTACTTATCTTTTAATATGAGGGGAACAGTAGCATTTTTTAAGGCCTTATTACACTTCATTATTTTACAGTATTATTTCTTCTAAGATGATTATATTAAGGAACATGGCCCAAAAAGCACATTGGTAGGTTCAGACCATGGCAAAATGGATGAAGTTGCTCATTCTGCAAAGAATATGTGATTTCTGTTAATGGTAATTCTCTCTCTCTCTCTCTCTCTTTCTCTTTGTTTTTGAGGGGAAAAATGGTTGTATGGCTGTTGGTTTTATCGGCCAAATGAAACATTCCATTTGGCTACACGAAAATTCCTAGAAAAAGAAGTTTTTAAGAGTGACTATTACAATAAAGTTCCTGTTAGTAAAATTCTAGGAAAATGTGTGGTCATGTTTGTCAAGGTAAGAAATTCATTAGTCCCAAAAGTATAAATCATTCTGTGGGAATAAAATTTATAAGTACACAAAAAAATGATATTTATGAAATTGGGAGCTCTTTTTTAAACTGTTTGGAAAACTTTTTTTAAAGCTGTGTCTGTATTCTATAAATGAAGATTTAGGAAGAAATATACTTGAACATGAGGGTGAAAGACCATTTGCTGCCTGTGCTACGTAACAATATACAATCAACTTACATTTTTTTATTTTGCCAGAATAATTTTTAAGGCTTGACATTTTCTGAAAGAGCAGCATAACTTGCTAGTGTTTTCAGGTAATAAGTTGTACTTTTTGTGTATCTATCACATGTAGCACAGGAGCCCTGCCCATAGCTTTAAGGAACATTATAGCTATATGAAACACTAATATATTTTCAAAGGGCAATTGTTAGCCTAAATAAGTTAAATGGTATGTATTTGATAAAATTATTCTGAATCAAGGAAATAACTGCTATATCTCTAGCCATTTACTATTTGTTTGTAACTCTCAGGAGGTCTAAAAAGTTTTAACTTTTGATTGGTTTGTATTTATTTTTGGATGTTGTTGTTGTTTATTGATTTTCAGAAAAATCACCTAATTAATTTTATCATTATAATCCCCCAGGAATACTTTAAATTATGTCCAGAAAACTTTAGAGATGAAGATGTTTTTGTCTGTGAATCACGGTATTCTGCCAAAACCAAATCTTTTAAGAAAATTAAACTGTGGACCATGCCCATCAGTTCAGTTAGGTTTGTCCCTCGGGATGTGCCCTTGCCTGTGGTCCGAGTGGCCTCTGTATTTGCAAATGCAGATAAAGGGGATGATGAGAAGAACACAGACAACTCAGAAGACAGTCGGACTGAAGACAATTTTAACTTGGAAAAGGTATGTAGATAATAGCCAAACAGAAAAGAATTTTACATTTCAAAATAGACACTATAAAAGAATGGAACTATAAAGGAGAGACAAAAGTTAATACTTGGTCCTGACTGGTGAGGCTCAGTGGGTTACGCATGGTCCCGCAAACTGAAAGTTCTCTTGTTTGATTCTTGGTCAGAGCATGTGCCTGGCTTGCAGGCTAGGTCCCAGGTTGGGGGCATGCAAGAGGCAACCCATCGATGTTTCTCTTGTGCATTGATGTTTCTCCCTCTCTTTCTTCATTCCTTCCCCTCTCTCTAAAAATAAATAAATAAATAAAGAGCTTTTTTAAAAATGAAGAAATAAAAAGAAATCAATACTTAGGACAATAGAACAGTAGAATTTAAAAGTAAATCCAAGTGCTTACTCTGACAAGTCCAGTAAGAAAGCTGCCAACGATTCTAATAAAGAAAAAAAAGGGAATTAAGCTCAGACATTTAAAATGTGGAAGAAATTAAGGACTTCTATGTTTTTGTTAATAAATTTGGAAGCCTGAATAAAGTGAATAATTTTGTAGGATAATGTAAATTACTAAGGTTGAATCAAGAAGAGCTATAACACATAACATGACAAAATTTTTTAAGATGCCAAAGAGCTAACCCCAAAGAGCACTCAGATCAGACAATTTCATAGGTGGATTTTTTTTAACCCTTTAAGAGACCTATAATTATAATGTTTCAATTATTTCAGAGCATGGAGAACAAAGAAAACTTCCCAGTTTGTTTTACAAATCCAAAATAGTCTTGATTCCAAAGCCTGACAAAATAAAAAGCTATAGTTTAGTCTCACAAATATTGATGAGAAAAGAAAATACTTGGGGAGAAAAGTATTTTTACAAGTGAAATCTAACTAGTTGTTTAAGAACATGACCAAGTAGAGGAGAGTTCATTCTCAGAATGCAAGGATTGTTCAAAATTAGGAAAACTCACTAATTTTATTATAGTAATAGGTTAAAAGAGAAAGTATTTAATAAAGTACACTACTTAAGTTTCTAGATGCATATTTCCTCAAAGTGCTTTTTTAAGTATATTTAATCTTTATTGTATTTTTTCCCATTATCCTGTAGTTCCCTTATATTCTCCACCCCCCAGCAAACACCATACTGCTGTCCATGTCCATGAGTCCTTTTTCCTTTTTGCCACCCCCTAACCTCTCCCTACCACTAGCAAAGAAATTTTTAAAAGATTATTTTTGTGCCTAAAGCCTAAAAAAAAGAAATTCTCTTTTAAGTAATACACATGAGAAAGGAGCTTGCTGTATCATTACCTATGTTTTTCTGAAAGTAACCAAAGTAGTTAGACAAACAAAAGTAGTGAAAATATTGACAGAGGCAAGATTTTTTTTTGCAGATAATAGAAAATCTATATGTCAGTAGCTTTTTTATATAAACATAATTCATAAGCCTTTTGAAGGGAAAATGAAAACTGAATATACTTCAGCTGTTAGAAAATTACATGGGAGAAAATATCTAATTCACATTAACAACAAAATAGATTAAGAAAAATAAATAAAGAAAACAATAACCTTAAGAAAAAGAAAAAGAAATAACCTTAAAGAAATAAATAGAACCTGTGAGAAGAGAAACAGTCAGTCTACTGAAGGACATAAAAGACTTGAATAAATTATTTTTGGAATGGACAAGATTATTCTGACATTTTTATGAAAAAATAAATATGTATGTGACAGTCACTAGAAAAAAGAAAAATAAAAGAAAATAATCTAGAAAACTTGACAGCATTTGAGCTCTTGCTCCCTTGTATATGTCATGAAAAAAAATGTATGCCTTGAGCTTACAGATGTTACATTTTACAAAACTATATTTAAAAAATTGAGATGCTAGCTCAGGACTAGCCAGTGAAAGACATAAACTTTTCACAATTAAATCCAGAATGTTAAGGTAGTATTTTAAATTAGCAGGAGTGGATGGAGTCAAATGATACTTGAAAAATTGCTAGCGATTTGAAAAAGAAAAGGAGCAAAAAAAAAAAACCAACATGCACTCTTACTTCATATCCAAAATAAATAAGATATAAACATAAAAAAGAAACAATACTAACTAAAAAGAAAGAGCACTAGTTTCTAACCTAAGTACCTTTACTATATTTACCTGTAATCCTTTATTCATTTATAAGCTTAGAATGGGTTCTGTGTATGCTATTATACAAAACCCAGGAGTCATGAAAGAAAAAAGTGATCATTTTATTGATTTGCAAATGAAAACCTCAGTTAGTTTAATAAAACAGTCTAAGGACTACTATTTCTAATGTACAAAGAGTTCTTTAAAGTCTTAAGGAAAAAGTAACACCAAAAAAGCAAAGGACCAAATAGATCATTTATAGAAGGAAAGCAGCCAAAACACATAACAAAATGTATTAAACTAAGAGTTTTCAAAATGCTTAACAAAGATTGGCAAGAATTCTGTAGACATGCAGCCTGGTATGGGGCAACGCCCTCATCTCCCTTAATGACATTGTCTTTGACCCTGCAGTTTGATGACAGGAAATGTGCTTCCACATAGTACTCACAGGGACCCCAAAGGATTCTCTTCAGGGAGTGACATTAGTATAGTTGTAAAAGAAAAACTACGCCAAACCCAAATGCCCATGAATAGGAATGGGAATTAAGTTGTACATCCACATAATACAGACTGCAGCCAATGAAAGGAGTAAAGTAGGTCTATTATAGTAATACTGAAAATTTTCCAAGTTAGTGGGGTAAAGGTGTTACTAATTAACAGATTGCAGAATGAGATGGGGTTCATCATCACTTGAAACAAAAATGTGTCTTTGTATATTAATGTGAAAACAACATGGATAGTATGTACTAAACTGCATTGTCTCAGGTTAGATCACAGAAGAGTTTTCTAGGTTTTACATGCGCTAATGATTGGATTATTTCCAACACATATATAACTATGAAAGACAGTTTTAAAATTGATCATGTAAAAACGGGAAAAAAATTAAAATCTTAGCATCTTAGAAAAAAATGTCCATTTTCATGTGCTAATACTGATATTTCTTACAGTTTATCAGTATATGTGGGAATCATAGAGCATTAATTTTAAAAGAACTATCAGTGGAAGCCAATGTGAAATTAACTTAGATTTGTTATTTTTATTATTAGAATTCATAAGTCCCCAGGGTCCTCTCTCTGTTTTGTCTCATTATTTTGATATTGGACGGCTAAGACAAGTCATTCCAGGAACTTTTTTAAAGAGTAACTTTAGGAAATAACCCATTCCTAAAATAAAAAGGTTTGCGTTTCGTTTTTTTTTTTTTACTATAGTGCACATAAAATATTATAGTGGTTTAAAGTGTGCAATACAGTGATTCAGCACTTATGTAACCTGTCACTCTACAAAGTTATTACAATACTGTTGGCTATATTTTCTGTGGTATACATTACATCCCATGACTTATTTATTTAATAACTGAAAGTTTGTACCTCTTAATGCCCTTTATCTTTTCATGCATATTCCCTGGCCTCCATCAGTTTGTTCTCTAAGTCTGAGAGTCTGTTAGATTACACATGTAAGTGAAATCATATGGTATTTTTTTTCCTCTGTCTGACTTACTTTACGTAGCATAATACTCTCTAGGTCTATCCATGTTGTTGCAAATGACAAGATTTCTTTTTTATGGCTCAGTAATATTCCATTGTGTGTGTATGTGTATCACATCTTTGTTCGTGTACAGATGGATACCTAGGTTACTCTCATATCTTGGCTATTGTAAATAATGCCACAGTGAACACAGGTGTGTGTATCTTCCATATTAGTGTGTTGGTTTTCTTTGGACAGATAGCCAGAAGTGGAGAATTGCTTGATTGTATGGTAGTTCTATTGTTAAATTTTTGAAAAACCTAAATACTGTTTTTCCATAGCAGCTGCACCAATTTACAACCCTACTAACAGTGCACACAGGTTTCATTTTCTCCAAATCCTTGTTAATACTTGTTATTTGTTATCTTTTTAATAGCTATTTTGACAGGTGCGAGGTGATATCTCATTGTGGTTTTGATATACATTTCCTTTATAATAGTTGAGCACCTTTTCATGTGTCTGTTAGCCATCTGTATTTCTTCTTTGGAGAAAGGTCTGGTCAGGTCCTCTACCTACCCCCCTCTTTTTTTTAATCCTCACCTGAGGATATATATAGAGAGAGAGAGGAAGGGAGAAAGAGAGAGGGAAAGAGAGAGACATTGATTGGTTGCCTCCTGTAGGCTCCCTGACCAGGGACTTGAACCTGCAACCAGGGTATGTGCAACCTTTCCATGTATGGGATGACACTCCAACCAGCTGAGCCACACTGGCCAGGCCCTCTGCCCATTTTTTATTTGGATTGTTTGTATATTTTTGATGTTGAGTTGTATGGGTTCTTTATAAATTTTGAATATTAACCCCTTATCAGAAAATATCACTTGCAAATATCTTTCCCTATTCAATAAGTTGCCTTTTGTTTTGTGGTTTCCTTTGCTGTGCAAAACCTTTTAGCTTTGATGGAGTCCTGTTTGTTTATATTTGCTTTTGTTGTGCTTGCCCAAGGAGACACATAAAAAAAAATATTGCTAAGAACGATGTTAAAGAGGTTACTTCCTATATTTTCCTGTAGGAGTTTTATGGTTTCAGGTCTTACATTTCAGTCTTTAATCCATTTTCAGTGTATTTTTGTGTATGGTATATAAAGTGGTCCAGTTTTATTTTTTTGCCTTTAGCTATCAGTTTTTCCAACACCATTTATTGAAGAGACTGTCTTTCCCCATTGTATTTTCTTGGCCTCTGTCATAGATTAATTGACCAGAAAAGAGTATTCTTAATCTCAGGGGTTACTTTATATATAGCTTCCATTTCTCCAAGTGTCCCTTCCCTAGCGTTAATGTGGCACCTCTTACATTCTTAAGGATTTTCCCCAAAGACTATTTTAATATCATATTTGAAGTCTTTAGGATCAAAACGTCAGATTATTTGGACATTCTAAAGAAGATTATCTTTTTTTGAAGTTTCAGATATTCTCAAGACAGGGAGATGCAGTAGAATATCTTGGGGTTCTGGAGTTTCCTTAGCTTTTAAAACGCCTAGCACTATGTTCATTATCTGCTAGGTTCCCAATAAAGGATCTTTTTTTAAATTTCCATTAGTCAGAAGTTTCTCTATTTTTTCACCAAGACTATAGAACAACAATAATGAATGTTTGTATTTTACACAAATCAGGCATTGTTCTAGGTACCTACATGGATTACGTCATATAAGTTTCCTAACAACCCCATCTAATGAGGACACTAAGGCATAAGAGGTCAAGTAATTTGTCATAGCAGCCAGTAGGTGACAGACCCTATAATTTATTCAAAAACAGTATGTGTGTTTAGGTCACAGAGACTATGCTATTCCTGTCTATTTTGGAATAATTCAAAATGACAACAACAAAAAAAGAAAATATACTTAATGTTAAGAAATTGAGAGCTCAGTAAATGTGGTGAAGAGGAAACTTGTGTAGAATTTGCTCCTTATACTCTATAATAATGCATGAATGAGGCTGCTTCTGGATGCTAAGTCCACTCCAGTGTTATTTTGCTAAAGGCTATGGGAATAGAGGAAGGAGAGAGAGGAGCAAAGCATCCTGAAGTACACAAAATGTTAACTAGAAATTTAAAATAGATACAAATACCATATGATTTCATTCATATGTGGAATCTAATGAACAAAATGAACTAACAAAATAGAGACAGACTCTATTTTCAGAGCAGGCTGAAAGCTCTGAGAGTGGGGGGTAGTTACTGGGTTGAAAGATGGAGCAAAAAGGGGAAAGAACTCATAGACATGGACAACAGTGTGTTGATTGTAGGGAGGATGGTCATATAAGTGGGATAAATGGTAATGAAAACATACAGTAAAAATAAATTAAAAAATAAAATAGATACAACATTTGATAAGACTCAGTTTGATTTCAGTAACCTAATCTTTTGATTTCTTTTCTTCATCAAAGCTTCTATTGTTTTTTCTTCTTTTAATATGAAGGAAAGTCTGTTTTCCTTTCTTACCTTCTCTATCTACTCTTTGATTGTCAACTGCATATCTTCACCCAGTTTCCTTTACAACAGGAGAAAGAAGATGTCCCTGTGGAAATGTCCAATGGGGAACCGGGTTGCCACTACTTTGAGCAGCTCCATTACAATGACATGTGGCTGAAGGTTGGTGACTGTGTCTTCATCAAGTCCCATGGGCTTGTGCGCCCTCGTGTGGGCAGGTAAGTGTTATTGAAGAAGCGGGGATAAGGTTGGTTCTGAGATGTGGAGCCAGTAAAAAAAAAAATAGTTCATCCCTCTTTAGGATGAAGACAAAAGTCTCTCCCCAGGTAACTTACCCAGCTTCCTCTCACACCACACTTCCACTGCTTTTGCCTCTAATAACCATACTTCCTTCATCATATCCCTTCATGAAATCTTTTTTTTCCCTTCTACCATTTACTTAACTCTCAGTCCAAAAATCTCCCTATGCACTTCCTGTGGTGAACTCTAGCTTAAATTTGAAATGGTACTTCTTTAACGGGAAACCTCTATCCCCTCCAGACTGTGTTAGGTCTCCCTGTCACACACTCTCAGAACACCATGTATTTTCTTCTCCTTGGAGCACATATCACATTATATTGTTCTGAGGTTCTGTACTGAACTGCAAATGCCCTAAGAATAGGGACCCTCTCTTTTTGTTCTCCTTTGTATCCCCTATTCCAAACATAGTACCTGAAATATAGTAAGGATTCACATATTTGAATGAACAAATAAATGGATGAAAGTATAAGCTGCATGACATAAAACAAGAGTAAAGGAGTCAAAGACAGGGCTGTGCAGTTGAGGATAGTACTTAAGAGTAGTTGGTTCCAAGAAATCTTGGTTCAAGTCGTAGTGCTGCTAGTTTCAAATTATTTGCAAATGATTTATCTCTTTGAGTCAGTTTCCTTGTATTTGTTTCAGCATTCACTAATCATTTGTTACACACCTCCCATTTGTCAGGGTCTAAGGATGCATAGTAACTAAAACAGACAAATATCCTTAGTCCCATGGATGTTTGTGCTAGTGCAAAGACAAACAATAAACATCATGAATAAGTAAAGTGTATAATATATATCATGTTAAAATAATTTTTTCCCTCAGATGAGTAGCCAGATGTTCATTTCTCTTTTTCAAAGTATCTTCTTCTGTATTTAAAGGGAGGGAAAAAAAATCAAGGAAATTGTTTTATCAAAACAACCAATGAAACTCCTCTACATATTAATTTTTTGGTTAATGGAATTTTTGTTAGATTAATACTTTAAGAATGAAACCCATTAAAATGTTATTTTAATGGAATTTCTCTTTTTTTCCCCCTCCCAAGAATTGAAAAGGTCTGGGTCCGAGATGGAGCTGCATATTTTTATGGCCCCATCTTCATTCACCCAGAAGAGACAGAACATGAACCCACAAAAATGTTCTACAAAAAAGAAGTGTTTCTGAGTAATCTGGAAGAAACCTGTCCCATGACGTGTATTTTGGGTAGGTATTTATGCATTTCATTTAATCACATTCATTCCACAAGTTGATTAAATATTTCTGGACTAGGCATTGTTCTAGATGCTAGGTATGCAGCAATAAACAAAGTCTCTGCTCTTTTAGAGACTTACAGTGGGGTAGAGGTTGGGGAGTCAGTAAATTAAAGTGAAGTTTGTAGAACATCAGGTAATAATTAGGACTGTGAATGAGAATAAAGCAGAGGAAGGAAGATAGAGATTAATGTTGAGATTACCTGTTTTAGGTAATGTATAGGCATCCAAAGCCTCTCTGATAGGTGACATGTGAATAGAGCCTAAAGGAAGTAAGGAAGAAATCCAATTGAATATCTGAGATTCAGCATAGGAAACACCAAATGCAAAGACCTTAAGGCAGAGTATCTGCGCATGTTTAAGATACATTAAGTAAGCTGGGTGGCTGGAGCAGGGCAGGGATGTGTGATAGGGAATGAGCCCTCTGAGGTAACTAAGCACCCAATCATGGTAGGCCCTGCAGGCAGTGCAGAGATCGAATTTGAAGAAGATAGGAAGTCCTGTGAGGATCTGAGCAGAAAGGTGATGTAATCCCACATATGCATTAGAGGAGTCACTATGGCTACAAATTAGAGAATGTGTTGTAAGAAGAACAGTTAAAAGACTTTTACAGTCTCTTTTGGACTCTTAACCCTAGTAATGTTGTTGTCTCCTTTTCAGAAATGGGAAGGACCCAAGTTTTGGCTTCTGTTCCATCTTCCTGAGTATTACAGTGACATTCTGCTTCTCAGATGTAGATATATGCATTACACAGTGCCCTCATTTTCAGCCTGGATTGTTTTTGGTGCTGAATTTTGTCAGACTTAGATGTGATAAAAGTATCTGAAGGGCTTGGTAGTTCAACACATTTTCTTCTTCTCACCCTGCAGAGAGGGAGCAAAGGCTAGTGAAATTAAAACCTTCTTGAGTTTCTGCAGAAAAGAATGTCTTCCTTGTAACTTGTGATTCATGCTAATGCAGTGTCCTAGAGCCTTACTTCCTAGTGTGAACTCAGCCTGGACTCAAAGGGAGCATACCAAAGGTGAGACTGAAGTCTCCTTTGGTTAGGGTAACCACATCACTTACTGTTTTTTAGTTTTTTTCTTAGTGGCTAACCTGGAGATTACCTCTTAAATTTATGACAATCTAGTTTGAATTGATACTAATTTAGTTTCATTAGTATACAGACAGTCTTCTCTACAGCTCCATTTCTCCTGTTTTATGTTGTCAGGAATTACCTCTTTCTACTTTGTGTGCCCATTTAGAGAGATGTATATTGCTTTTGCTTTATTTTTATTTTTCAATTAGAGTTGACATATAATATTATATTAGTTTCAGGTATGCATCTCAGTGATCAGACATTCCCCCCAGCTCCCCTCCCATCTGGCAACCATCAAAATGTTCTCTATATCTGTGAGTCTATTTCTGTTCTGCTTGTTCATTTATTTTGTTTTTTAGATTCAGTTGTTGATAGATACGTATTTATTGTCATTTTATTGTTTCTATTTTTTCTTCTTTTTAAAGAAGACCCTTTAACATTTCATGTCATACTGGTATGATGGTGATGACCTCCTTTAGCTTTTTCTTATCTGGAAAGCTCTTTATATATCCTTCAATTCTAAATTATACCTTTGCTGGGTAGAGTAATCTTGGTTGTAGAGCCTTGCTTTTCATTACTTCGAATATTTCTTACCACTCTTCTGGCCTGCAAAATGTCTGTTGAGAAATCAGCTGACAATTTTATGGGAGCTTCCTTGTATGTAACTAACTGCTTTTTTCTTGCTGCTTCTAAGAGTCTCTCTTTGTCTTTAACCTTTTGCATTTAAATTACGAGGTGTCTTGGTGTGGGCCTCTTTGGGTTCATCTTGTTAAGAACTCTACACTTCCTGGACTTCTATATATATTTCTTTCACTAGATTCGGGAAGTTTTCTGTCTTTTTTTTTTTTTCAAGTATATTTTCAATTTCTTGCTCTCTTCTCCTCCCAGGACCCCCTTGATGCAAATGTTGGTATGCTTGAAGTTGTCCCAGAGGCTCCTTAACTATCCTCATTTTTTTTTTCTTTTTGCTGTTGTCATTGCGTGTTTTTGCCTCCTTAGATTCCAAATCACTCTTTTGATTTTCAGCCTCATCCCCTCTACTGTTGATTTCCTTTAAATTATTCTTCATTTCAGTTAATGTATCCTTTATTTCTGACTGGTTATTTTTTGTGGGTTCCATGTCCTTTTTTTATGCTATTGAAGTTCTAAGTTCATCTATCTACTTTTCCCCTAAGTTCATTGAGCATCCTTATAACCAGTATTTTGAACTCTCCATCTAGTAGATTACTTATCTCCATTTTGTTTAATTCTTTTTCTGGAGTTTTGTTCTGTTCTTTCATTTGGGCCATGTTTCTTTCTCTCCTCATTTTGGCAGCCTCTTGTGTTTGTTTCTATGTATTAAGTAGAGCTGTTGAATCTCCCAGGCTTGGCAGAGTAGCTTTAGGTAGTAGATGTCTTATAGGGTCCAGTGACAGAGCCTTTCTGTTCACCAGAACTGGACATTCAGGTGTGCCCCTAGCCCCAGCCCCTACCCTATGTGGTCTGTGTACACCTTCCTGTGTAGATGAGCCCATCAGTGGGAGGGATTTACCCCAGGCTGATCAGCTGCAAGGACCGACGCCAGCCACTATGGAAGATCAGCTGTGCAGAGTCTCACCCCACGAAGCAGGACTTACTTCAGTAGGGCTCTGATGCCCGCTGAGTCTGCCCCTTGACTGTGTGAGTAGATGTGGTTAGATGGTGCTTCAGTGAGGTCTGAAGCTGTTTGTGGGGTGCCACTGGCTCTCGAGCCTCCTGGGAGGTGTAGGCCAAAGTCAGCTGCTGCTTTGTGTTCTTCCTGGGGCTACCTGGCATGAGCTACAAATCAGTGTGCAGACGGCTGATCCTTTTGCTGGGCTTGGTAGTGTCTGGGAGAGGCCAAGCTGCAAACCAAGGCAGGCTGCTGCTACTGTCCTGCGGCCAGTTAGCAAGAGGTACAGGGCATGAATAGACCATAAGCTACTTATTTGGGAGATTTTAGGCAAGTCTGAAGCATGAGCCAAGATAAGCCATTCATATGTAAGCCACTGGAAACAGCTTGGATGGGCCTGAAGGTTGAGTGGGGTGGGGTCTTGGGGAATAACCAGGGTGGAGAAAATAGTGATAGGTTGATAGAGGCTCAGACATGGTGCCACTTGCAGGCTCTCTGGGGGGAAGGTTCAAAAGAGAAAGAGTGGCCTCTGCCAGCACTTCTGTTTGGAGAAAGCTGCTCCTCCAGCTCCTGCCTTGATGTCAGGCAATTCATTTCCTCCCTGTATGTCTCTGGTGCCTTTTGAGCTCTTGCCCCAGCACTGAAACTCAGAGGGAATTTGTCTAAGTCCATGCACAAGCTCTTTAACAGGAACTGCCTGGGACTCCAGAAGCCCTTCATCGCATTCAGCCACAATCCCCACTGTTTTTATAGCCAGAAATTATGGGGACTTCTCTTCCTGCCACTAGAACTGTGAACAGGGAGACCTGGTATGGGGCTGGGATCCCTCACTCCTCAGGCAGTACCTCCACAACCGAGATACCCCTCTCAGTTTTTATCTGTCACACATCGGTGTGGGATCAGCTCATTCCACATCTCTGCCCCCTCTACCAGTCTTAATGTGGCTGCTTCTTTATATTCTTAGTTGTAGGATTTACTCCAGCTAGATTTCAGGCAGTTCTGAATGATGGTAGGTCTGTAATTTAGTTGTAATTTTGATGTGGTTGGTGGAGGATGTAAATACCGCATTTACCTATGCTGCCATCTTAACTGGAAACCCCATAAATTTCTAATTATTGTTTTATATGTTTATCTTTAAAATCATATTGGAGAAAAAAAGGAGCTATAAACCAAAAATATAACTTTGGCTTTTATATTTACCTGTGTAGTTACCTTTACTGGTGTTTTGAATTTTTTTGTATGGCTTCAAGTTACTGTCTAATATTCTTTCATTCATTCTTGTAAAGGGCGTTTACAAGAACTCCCTTTAGCATTTCTTGTAAAGCAGCTCTACTAGCAGCACATTCCCTCATCCTTTGTTTATCTGGAAATGTCTTGATTCTTTTTTCATTTATGAAGAATACTTTTACGGGATAAAGAATTCTCCATTGACAGGGGATTTTTTTTAATGTCTTTCATCAATTTTGGGGAGTTTTTGACTACTATTTCTTCAGATAGTCTTCCTGCCCCTTTCTCTCTCTCTCCTCCTTCCAGGATGCCCGTTATGCCTATGTTAGTATGCTTAATGGTGTGTTACATGTCTCTTAGACTCTGTTTTTCTTTATTCTTTGTGTTTCTCAGACTGGCCATTTCAGTTGGTCTGTTTCAAGTTCACTGATTCTTCTGCCTGTACAAATCTCTTGAACCCCTCCCCTGAATTTTTCATTTTAGTTATTGTACTTTTCAGCTCCAGAATTTCTATTTAGTGTTTACAATTTCTGTCTCTTTATTGATACTGCATTTGGTGAGACATGATTCTGGTTTTCTTTGTCCCTGGTTTCTTTTAGCTCTTTGAACATACTAAAGATAGTTGATTTAAAGTCTTTGTCTAGTAAGTCCCGTGTATGGGCTTCCTTACAGACAGTATCTGTTCATTTCTTTTTATCCTGTGAATGGAAAATACTTTCTTGTTCCTTAGTTTTTTGTTGAAAACTGGACAGTACAAATATTACAACGTGATAACTCTAGAAATTAGATTCTCCACCCTCCTCAGTCTTTGTTATTACTGCTTATTGTTGATTGTAGTTGCTTATTTAGTGATGTGTAGTACAGGAGCCCCAAAATAGGGAGCTGCATAAGTGTTCATGATATTCCAAAAAAAAAAAACACCCAGTGAACTAGCTGATGTGGACATGCTGTTTATTACTCACGTTATAGGGGAGTGCACCCATGGTGGCAGGTCCATGTGAGAGAAACTGCACTTCCT